TGGCTGGTGGCTGGAGTTGTAGGACAATAACAAGAGTGTTGTCCGGTGGTTCCGACAACATGGAAAGGCGTTGGCGACAGTGAAAGGAGGGTTGTGGAGGATGGAAAATTGAGGGCAAATACTCATTCTAGAACAAGTTACAACCAGAACACCACTCGACCATGGAAGATCTCCACCTCAGACAAGCTATAGCGGGGGCACCGCCCGCCTTTGGATATATCCCTAGAAGGGAGAAATCAGGACGCCAATGGCTGTATTGAACGAAAATATGACAAAACCAAAAACCTAAACACAAATCAAATATAAAAGCCCTAGATAATTAGGATTGTGGCTGCTGTTGAAAGGAGGTGCCAAATAGACATAAAGAAGGTCGACTGACCTTCAATTCGTTATTTTGAATCGGCCCCAAGTTGCTGGGAGGTTTTCGCGCCTGGTCCAGTTCAAGGGAACAATTGTGGGACTTTAGCATAAGTCATGGCCTTGTGGCATGGATCACAGAAAGGTTCCATGAGGGAAGTTCTCAAGTCAGTCTCCCGGGGTTGGGGGAGCTTGGATCTCATTCTTCAAAGCTTTTGTGTCCTCATAGTTTGACGTTAGGTCAGTTAGATTGAAGGTTGTGGACCTACTGTGACTTCCCGGTAAGCCAATCCTGCAGGCGTTGCCGTTCCAAAGCACATCGTTGTAGAATAAGTATCGATATTCTTTTGACACAACTTGAGCTGGATATGGATGAGTATCTTCCCGAACCAAGTCTTGAGCCATCAAATCTGTAATTGACTTCTTCCACTCCTTGTACTTGTTCGAGTGTGTCTGGTAAACAAATAAGTAAGGAGGATTCAAATTTGTGATTAAATCTATGATAGGTTGAGCTACTTTCACTAGCAACCACTCAGAAGATGTCTCTTTTTCTTCTTTTATGGTAGGATTTGAATCCTATTGTAGAATTTTCTTCCTCATCAAGCTCCTATGATAATTTTTAAAGCTGTAGTTCATCAATGTCTTGGTATATTTCGGTGAATATACTGTTGAATTGAATGTAATATCTGAATAACTCCATATAACATTCCGAAAGCAGCTCACAAGCTTTTATCTTATTGAACCACTTTCAAGGGTAACCATCCAATAGGTGAATTGTTGGTCAGGATGTCTAGCAGCTTTGTCAACAGGGGTTGTCCCTTTTCGTGTATCTGCTTCTCAGACTCACCATATCCTACAATAGCTTCGATTAATCCAATCGGACTGTCACACCTCTACCAACCTCTATGGTAGGGTCAATCGTCGTGTGATAGAAGCTGACAATTTGGTCAGACCAACTTTCAGTAACACTCGTCTCTACTTTTATAATCATAACATAGTGGGTGATGAATTAGTCTAACTGGATCGCTGCAACATACGTGATGCATTGTATTTTATAAACATACTCGGAAGCATGAAAATTATATCATTTAAAACATTAAAATTATACATAGATGTTAAATCTAATTTAACAAAAATATACATACCTAAAAACGTATGTACGAAACTCCCAAAACTATTTTGCAAAAAATATACAAAGACACACCTAACTACTTGCCCCGGTGCTCGTTACCCCTACCTGGAAGGCAACAACGAAGAATGAGCAACAACAAGCTCAGATAAATAATCGGGGCTATCATAAGATCTTATACATGAAAAAGAAACGTGTATGCTCACATGAAACTATGCATGTCTACATACAAATCATAACATACTAGCCACATACATGTCGTATAAAAATCAAGTGTAATGTAACATGTAAGTCGTACACATGAAATTATAAATAAAAGCATGTTCATAATTTTTTATTATATGTAATCGGAGCAATGTCATTTCATAATAATATCATTAGTTTAATGTATAGGGTTCAAGTATTTTCATGTTCTTTCATCACGGGTCATCAACCCGCCAGAGTTCCATCCCCATTGATATAGACCATATAAACTATCGATAATGGTTGGACTTCCCCTAACAGAGCAGTTATCGACAACGCCCTTGATATCCACAGTTCCTAAACCTTTTGTCACCGCTTAATTCCTTCCCCTAACAGAGCAGTTATCGACAACGCCCTTGCTATCCACAGTTCCTAAACCTTTTGTCACTGCTTAATTCTAATGGTTCTCCCAGAGTTACATTCCCGTATAAATATCAGGAGTCAGAAATACTACATCCTTGTATAATGTACTTGCAAACACTCATGTAATAATCTACCCCCTAGCATTCCTTGTGACATTTAAATCATTATTATTGTATCAAGCATAAGACATTACATGCATCATAAACATGAAACATATAAAATGAATACCTAATCATCTGTATCATACCATAACATAACGTCATATGTATATAGCTTCTTATGTTCGTAAGAGAATTAAACATGCATTCATACATTCAATTGCAGATATTTATTTACAACATGCAGGAAATTCTAAATGCATCTGTGTCAAAATAGAAATCAATCTATAGAAGATTATTTTTCTTAAATTATTACAAGATTATTTTACCTGACTTGATAGAGCAACCTTACGACAAGTGCCCACATGCTCGTCTCGAGCTAGCAACCTTGTATAGACAACTTGGAGCTCGTAGACAACACATATATTCATAAAATTTAGCGCAAAACATGAATTAACCCAAAAAACAATATTAAATGCCAAAACATACCTTAAAAGGGTTTCTTGGCATAAATCTGACTTTCTGAATATATCAATTTCACTTTTCTTCATTCCTATCTCCTCGAACCTTACTCATCCTCACTGATTTCATGCTAAAAGAGTTTTAAAAGCTTGCAAAACTAATTACAACACTTCTAGTACAAAATTGGTGTTTCCGAGGATTATCAAATATGAGAAAAACGAGGCAAGTGTCAAAATAGAGGGGCGAGCAAGAAAATGAAAGTTTCAAATTTTGTGAAAGAGAGATTCACACTTATAGAGATTGCCCCAGAGCTCTAAATTGTGAGCTCAGAAAAACGAGGCAAGTGTCAAAATAGAGGGGCGAGTAAGAAAATGAAAGTTTCAAATTTTGTGCAAGAGAGATTCACACTTACAGAGATTGCCCCGGAGCTCTAAATTGTGAGCTCCAACTACCCAGTGCGTCGCTCGATTCGCTGCTACTCCCGTGAGAACTCCTCCAGGTGCGAGAAATAGAACAGGGAGAGGGGAAACGAGAGAGAGGAAAAGGGATCGGGAGAAGAAAATCGAGGCAAGGGATGCCCTATTCGACCTATCAATATGAATAAAAGTCGTGGATGTCAGTTAGCTATAGTAGCAGAGGATTAGGGAGAATTAATTAGTGATTAATTAGGTTAATTAAATATTAAACTTTGAAATTTTAATCTTCTAATCCTTTAACAATTCATGCATGGTGTTTTATATGGAATTGATCGATTTCATGCATGCATAGAATTTAGTAGAATTATTTCGATCGAATTTATGGAAATGAAAATTTTGGGATTCTGTTTCAATTGTGCCGAACTTTACCTATTTCTCAAAACTTCGGCATTACACAGGCTTTCCCTTGTGGGCTGATTTTGAATAACTAGCGCCTCTTCCTCTTTGACTTGAAGTTGAGGCTCATCCATGACCTCTTCATTTTCTGTGTCATTATTTATTTCTTAAACTGTTTCATGAGTAGTGAAAGAGATAATTCTCTTAAGTGTGCAATATGATTCAATATGCTCAAATTCGTGGCACTTTAAAACACTTTCTGTCTGAAACAGATTCGAGAAAGCTGACTGGCTTGCCATGTTCTCCACTCTGATTTAGTTTCTCTTCGGGCAGAGTCGGCTTGGATTCTCCACTGGATGTAGTTTTGCTACTCAATCCTGCGTTGAACTTTGCTTGTGAGGTGTGGTGGTCTTCCAGTAATGTTGTTTTTCTACTTTTGAAGCTAGGGTCTACGCTTCCTCTCTATAATGGTACATACTAACACTGCATCTCTTACTTCATCTTGAACCAGATAGTGATCTCGTCTTTTCCCTCATGTTGGCTTATGCGCTTCAAAATTTTCTACCAATATAACTCACTTTTCTTCAACTTGCTGGAAACTAGTTTCACCATTCTGTCTAGTTGGACGTCTTGGTACTCGAAGAAAAGTTCCACGGTCTGGGGACACTTGATCAACTCGTCTTGTTCTAAGTGACCGTTTAAATGTAGCAAATTCACTGTTACTTCAAAATTTTCGTTTATAAGATATTTCATGTCAAATCTTCAAGCTAGAGGTTCTTCATCCCTGACATCTGTATGGTGGAAGAGATTCACTCCGATCTAATAAGTTTTCATTGTAGCTACAGGTTACCCTTCACCCTTTCAGGTTGCCTCATCTCTAAGACGACAAACCTCTGTTGCAGTTGAAGAATTTCTTAGTTTTATAGAAGGTTCATGGACATTTCTTTGCGGATTTCTCATAAACGACATTGTGGTATTTTCTTCTATTCATGTCTCCGACAATTGTCTTTTCAGTGGCGTGTTTATGATTTGGGTGTAGATAGATGGAATAGAATGTATATTGATGATGTAGGGTTTGAATGACCGGTTCAAAAAATCAGCAAAGGAAAAAAAAATTGTGTAGAGATACGGTTGGTATTGGGGTGGGATGCTAGAAACCTTTGAATATGATTTAGAGTTAGGCTAGCTCTGATACCATGTACCGGAGTTAACCCAAATAATAATAGGAATACAAATTTTATTACTGAAAGTGAATATGCGATTACATTCACACACATTTGAAAAGGACATACAACAACAGATACAATCAAACACAACTAAATGTATTTGAAGTTGGTGGTTGGTTTGGTGAGTGGACGACATGAGGATGGTGAGGAGGCGCTGGATTGCTGTAGTAGGCGGAAGGCTAAGTTGCGGTGGGCTGCGGGACAACAAAGGTAGAGCTGTCCCGGGGCTGTGGCAGTGATGGGGGATGGATGGACAGTGAAGACGGGCGGCTGTAATGAGTGGCAGCAAGGTGGGAGGTGGTTGGAAGGGATGACAACAGGTGGAGAAGGTGGTGGCCGGCAGTAGGTGGAGAAGGTGGTGAGGCAGCAAGGTGGGAGGTGGTTGGAAGGGATGACAATAGGTGGAGAAGGCGGTGGCCGACAGTAGGTGGAGAAGGTGGTGGCTGCTGGTAGCTGGAGTTGCAGGAAGAAAACTGGACTGCTGTCCTATGGTTCCGACAGCGAGGAAAGGTGGCAACAGCAGTGAGGGGAGGGTTGTGGGTGGGAAGTCGAGGATAAATATTCCCTCAGGAGCGAGCTATAGCCGGAGCACCACTTGAGCCTTGGAAGAATATCACCACTTTAGATGACATACAGTCAAAGCACCTTCTGCCTTTGAATACAATCCTAGATGGGAGAAATCAGGACACTGACGACTGTCCTGAACATAAATACAACAAAAACCAGAAAACTAAACACATTAATCAAATATATAAATCCTAGATAATTAGGATTTGACTTATCATGAAAAGGAGACACCAAATCTACATAAGGATGACTGACCCTCAATTCACTATTCTGAACCGGTCCAAGATCGCTGGAAAGTTTCCGCGTCCGGTCTAGTTCCCGGGATTGGTCGCAGGATTGTAGCATAAGTCACCTCCCTGTGGCATGGATCGCGGAAAGTGTCCATGTGGGAAGCTCCCGTATCATTATCTATGAGCATGTGGATAACCTTATTTATAATTGTGCCCTTTTTCATTTTAAAAATTATTAGGAATTTTTGTAAAATCTTATAATAAAATGCTTCTTAACTAATAATTTTCTAAATTTTGTGTCCAGGTAAGTATCTTTTTGAGTATCTCAGGATGAACTGAAACCAGCATTAGATTTTTTGTTAGATTTTTTGTTAAAGTTTCAGTTTAAGAATATGAGCGGAACAAGAGCCAAGCTATTTCTTCTATCTTTACAATTTAAAGTTTGGAACTGAAATGAAGTTGTTCTAGTGACAAATCTCAAGCCTATCGAGGAAACTTGGTTCTTTTCTAGTTGGTTTTTGGATCAATCATGTTGAAATGGGTGATGATAGTAAGGGACTTTTGAGTAGTAGCCATGTTGCATTGCCCTTAGCCTTTTAAAGTAACGGCTTGAGCGCAACTCGCATTAAACAATGCAGTGAGAGTCTTAAAATAATTCTTATTACATCAGATATATCTTATACATTTTATAATGACAAAGCAATCCATGTACGCACTTTGAGTTCAGTTATGGAATATCATTTTATCATCCTGAACAAATATTTTTATCATTGATATATTCAGTTTATATATGATTAATGTGTTGGCATGTATTTTATTGATGTGCTCGTATGTTCTATTGTTCTTTTTCTTACATTATTTATTCTCTTCTTCATTTCGGTTTTATTTAAGCTATCTTCAAATTTTTATTGGAAAGCTGAAATTATCTAGTATTCTTTTTCTTCTGTTCTCTATGCTACTTTCATGGCAGGTCTGGGTTGTTCTTAAACCAGGATTCTTGGCCTTTCTAGGAGATCCATTTGATACAAAACCTTTAGACATAATTGTCTTTGATGTATTACCTCCTTCAGATGGAAATGAGGAGGGTCGAGTTCTTCTAGCTAAAGAGACTAAAGAACCAAATCCCTTGCGGTTTGGGTTTACAGTAAGTTTTAAACTTTTTTCATGTGTTCATTTTTGAAAAAAATTCTTATGTTTATTTTGTGTGCTGTTTTTTTGGATTGCATTTGAAAATTAGGTTTTTTCTTATATTTGTTATTTCATTCTTATATTGCTAGTAAGTTCCATTGTAGATTAATTTTTAAGCATTTTAAGACAATTTGCAAAATGTTGTATGTTGTACAACGGTGATTAGTGTTCCTCTCAAAAAGTCAAAAAACAATCTTTAGTGTATGATCAAACATTGGAGCATGGTTCATTTGAAGAATCGTCATTTTATCTATGCTATTTATTTTAATTATTTTGGCAGGGAACTTGAATTGTCAGGATGCATTTCTGGCAATCACACTCCACTTTTGGAAGACTATTGACAAGTCTGATTGATTTTCAGCTAATATGTAATTTCTATAATTTTGCTAATTTAGAGTTTGGCTTAAGTCATATAGCACCTTGGTAACTATGATTCATACGAAAAGATTTTATATTTTCATCAGTTTGCTTAGCATTAATTGGTATGGTATTTGAGCTGAGCATAAACGAAGCACAAATAGATTACCCTAAACTATGATGTTTTAAGATGCTTTAGCTCAAGCTAATGACATGTTATTTGCGGTTTAATAGTGCATAAATAATTAGGTAACTTTTATCTATATGAAAATTTTATGTAAAGATAAATGATAATGCAAGAGGGAGCAAGGATAGCACTATTGACCAAGTCCTTTTGTAACTCAAAAAAATTCCTTCAATTGTTCTATTGGCTATATCATTATTCACGTTTTGACGCGGGAGCTTATCACAAAAACTAAAAATGCAACAAAAACATATTGACCATGGAAATACTTATCAAGGGAGACATATCGAAAGAATCTCGTTTTTCTTTCTTATGCTTTATTTCTTGTTATACTTAATTCCTTGGTAGTTATTTTCTATATATGTGTTGTGTTAGGGTTTTGAAGTTTTGTGGTGTGTTTTGTATCTGGACAACTGCCTGCATCTATTTTTCCCTTCGAGGGTTGTATCCTAGGGTTCCAATTTGTGTTTCGGCTATATCTTGGTTTCCAGGTGGCGATTTATCCTTCCCCATTGCATCCCATAGCTCCACATCTTCCTTCCCTGCTGCAGCCACACAAAGGACAACAACTTTGCTATTTTTTTACCACAGTCTTCCCATTTTAGCTCTTCTTGCTCGCTGCCCCTGTTCCAGAGAGCCGAGCCTTGCTGTCTTGCAACCCTAACCTCGTTTTTTTTTAAATTTGCTTTCTTTCATGTTATCCTTAATTCCTTTGTAGTTATTTCCTATATATATCTTGTATTAGGGTTTGTACGTTTTTGGCGTGCTGTTTCTGGACAACTGCCTGCATCTCTTTCTCTTCGAGGGTTGTATCCCCGGATTCCAAGTAGTGTTTTGGCTACATCTTGGTTTCCAGGTTATTTATCTTTCTCCATTGCATCCTGCTACTCCACAACGTCCTTCCCTGCAGCATGCACCCTAAGGACAACAAATTTGCTATTTTTTTAACTGCAGTTTCCCCATTCCAGCTCTTCTTGCCCGCTGCCCCCGTTCCCAAGAGCCACCCCTTGCTGCCTTGTAGCGTCCCCTCCCCCCCCCCCCCTTTGGGGTCTTTTCTACC